GGAGTTAATAATATCATGGATTATGGATGGGGTGTAACCTTCACGGGTCAATCGTTGTTGCCTATCGTTGTCCCTTTATCGTGGTTACCTTTTATAATCCGTGAACGGTTTAGAAGTTCCTTAAAAACTTGTTGGCGGCTCCCTACTTTCCTTGTCCCTAATCGTATGTCAATTCCCACTTCCTATGAGTGCCAAGCATATTCACCGCATGCTTTAACGTAGGCGTACTTCGAACGACGCCTACACTTTCCCTCTCTCTTCTCTTGATTTCACCCGTTCTTCCCTTTTTCTGTTTCTTGTTTTTGCACATTTTAATTCACTTATCGCATTTTCATTGTTTAGGGTTTCAATTTCTGCAATTACAACTTCAACGAATTGACAATTCAAAAAGGGGAAAATCATGTGTAATTAGTGTTAGTGAAATCAAATTGAGATTTTTCTCAATTCAAACTAGGATTTTACGAATTGATTAACCGGTAATCGGACAATAAGATAAGAAATTTTTCACACAATTAAAACATGAAATTTGGGCGAAAACACTAACATGGTAGTGGGGATTACTCATTATGATGATCATGTTCATATGCAAAAAAAAAAAAAAAAAAAAAAAAAAAAAAAAAGAGGGTAATTTTAGGTCCCCTTCTCTACAATGTAGCTAATTTGACATATCAATTGGTCTCCCCCACTGCGCTTTTACTTAGAAAATGAAAGTACTGCACAAACCCTAGTTGTTAAAATGAAATGAGAGCTATGGAAAGAGAAGTGCTGAATGTAGAGTTTCGCATTGAGTTTGGGTGGGTGAGAGTACAATAATGGGTTTTACCGCGGAGAGAGAATACAAAGGGAAAATCGAGAAAAAAAGAGGGAAAGAGAGTAATTATATACTCCTAGACTCTAGTGTAGCTATCTATTCCTACACCTCCTTCCTAAACAACCCCAATAACACCACTTTCTACAATTGTGTAGTAACCGCACAGTAACCACACTTTTTACCTCCTTTTACATTTTTTTTTAAAAATAATCATAAATGCATTTCATTTCATTTTCTTTCTCTTTAATTTTTTTCTCCATTTTCTCTCTCTACACCTATTTCCTACATTTTTTCTCTCTAAACCCATTGATTAACTTTTTCTAATAAAAAATTTCTACGAATAAGTGACAAAAGAATTTAACAAAATAAGTTCGAAATTCGAAAGATAAAGTGATTTTGTTCATATTTGGTTAAGTATGAACCCTAGGTTTTATTTTATTTATTTATTTTTTTTGTTATTGTATTTTAGAGCAATAATCGAAACACCAACAATGGAAAATCCATCAACGTAAGTATTTACTTTGGTTTTAGTAATTTTTGTTCAAAAACTAGTAAATCAAATAAGGTTTTTTTTTTTTTTTTTTGTTTTTTTTTGTTTGGTACAACAAAGAAAACAGTTTCAGAGAAGAAAAACAAATATTCTATAAACATTTGAGTATGAATAAGATTAATTAGTAGTGAATTTTTTCTTTTGATGAATATTCATTTTCATTTTGATAAATGCTCATTTATACATTAGTATACTATTATTTACATGTTTTTTTTGTTTTTTTTTTATATAAAAACTATCATTTACATATTAATATATAGATAATTAATAAAAATGCTCATTTATTTATAATTCATAGTCATTCGTGTAATAATGTTCATTTTTTTCATAATCTAAAGTAAAAAATTATTTTGACGAATGTTCATTTTTATTTTGGTAAATGTTCATTTTTATTTTGGCATATGTTCAATCACATAATAGTACATGGTCATTCACAATTTCACATATTAACACACGATTATTAGAATTTTGATAAATGTTCATATTCTTTTTTTATCTACTTCAAATGTTTCTTATACATTTTAATTTTAAATTGTTTCAATATATGCTTTTTCTTAGCAATCACATATTTATAGCTTCAAGAGTTTATTCACGTATACATTTCATGTTCATCAATTGTTATCTTTCATGCATGATCATTATCAAACTAATATATATGCTCATTTATAAAGACTTAGTTGTTCGTTTTATTGAATTACGTAAATATGTTCATTTATGTATTAATAGTTGTTCATTTTTGTATCGATAAATTGTCATTTCCATACTAATATATATATATATATATATATAATATATATATATATATATATATATACATTCATGTATGTTCATCTTAATAATATGAAAGAAATAAAAAATAAGGAGATCATAAAGGCATGGATTCGTTAAGCAACATGAACCAATAACATGAACTTGGATTTTTCGAATTCAGATCGAAAAGTTTATTGTATTTGATAATATGTGTGGAGTTGTATAACTTGTATTGTATATTTTAATATTTACTTTCATATTAATATATATCCATTTTCATTCTGATAATTTCATTTTAATAGATAGATGTATATTGCATTCTTATGGCATAAGATGTTCATTTATTTAAATACTTGTTCACGCTCAAATTAAAAGATGTTTGTTTAAGTTTTAATATATTTTATTATATACTAAAAAATGTAAAATTAATTTTGAATATTTATTCATTGTCATACATAAAGTTGTTCATTTTGTAAGACACGTATGTTTACTTTTAAATAATTATATGTTCATATTTATAAACATCTATTTTAATTTTGATAGATATTTATTACAAAGTGCAATATTAATACACATGATTTTTTTTTTTTGAAACCTATACTCATGGTTATTCACATATTTATTTGTATATGTTCATTTTCAATTTAATACAAGTGTTTTTTATTTTTATAAAGAAGACTAAAAGACACTCAATTAAACTACCCAGTAATACCAATAAAATTTGTCCCTCCTATAATATACATGCATCAGATGCATGTAATTATAAAGCTACTAGCTGTTCAAACAAAAAATTATTATATAAAAAATGTTCATTTTTATATTGATAGATGCACATTTTCATTATGATTCATTATCATTTTATTTTTAAAATGTAAATGCATTTATTTTAAATAAAAATATACATATACTTAAATGTTCATTTTGATACTAAAACACCTATTATGTCATGAACTAGTTACTTTTTTTTTATAAAATTTATTATAACATGTAATAGTAAACATTTACGCATATATAAATGAACATTAAAATAGTAAATATTCATGCTTATATATGTTCATTTTCATATTAATGAATAGTCTATAACATATCTTATTACTTATGTGTTATTTATTTTTAGATACAGAGTTATTAGTTCAATAATAACTTTTGAAGGTTGTTTATTTTTATTGATCACTAATAAACATGCAAATGATACGTTAATTATGATAGGTGAATTTTAATGCTCCATTATTAGATGTTCAATTATAAATAATTAATTGTTTATTTACAATGATTAAAAAATATTGTTCATTTAATTTAAAAAATAGTACATGTTCAATCACGGTGTATAAAAGTTTTTCAATAATTTTTCCTATTCAATTTTCGTAAATCACGAATACGTGACTGCTGCAAAAATCAATGATAATCAATTATTACCAAATAGGACCTAATATCAATCATTTAAAAAACAAAAACAACAAATAATGCGAAATTAACATCGTACATTGCCAATAACGACAATGATAACAAATATAATTGAATAGAGGAAATACAACTAAATGCAAATCAATAAAAGCAAAAAAATTGCAATCAAATCAAAAAACACAAATACATAAATCAATTGGATAGAAGAAATTGCAGTCAAACTGTAAATTAAAACTAGATAAAAATAAAAATAAAAATACGGAGTAGAGTAAGAAAATGGAGCAAATAAATTTATAAAACTCACTCCATGGAGTTGAGCTAGAAATCTCCATGGAAGAAGAGAGAGAAAATTGAAAAAAAAATGGAGAGTGAAGATGAAATTAGTGAAAATAAGGAGAGAGGAAATGAAATTGGTGAAAAAGAGGAGAGAGAAAAAAAGCAATTTGGGTTTGTAAAAATGTTTACATACTTTCTTGATTGAAAAGTAATGAAAGAAAGATAAAAAAAAAGGGAAAAAAAAACTCATGCAAAAGGTGTCACTAGATGATGAAATTGACGTAATATAGAAGGGGGGTGTAGGTGAAGTTGCATACACTAGAGTCTAGGGAAATTTTGTAGAAAGAGAGGGAAAATTAAATAGTGAAGCCCAAGATGACGTCATGTAGGGAGGATGGTGTGAAGTCGTGGTAGTTTTTATTGTTTTGGACAAAACTAGGTGGTATAATACAATAAAAGAAAATACTTGAGGTGGTAATGTAAAAAATAACTATATTACATGGTATTTTTTTATTGTTTCTTTCTTTTATTATAGAAAATCTTTCAATTATTACCTCTAAAAAGGTTGCTTTGTCAATTACAACCCTTAAAAACTTAAATATGTTAATTAATACTCTTAAAAAGTTAAAAGTGTATAATTACTACTATTACTACCTCCGATCATTCTAGTGAATTAGCCTAATTAGACAAAATAACATAATTCATTTAGGCCCCATTTGGTTTAATGTAAAATATTTTCAATAGAAAATTAGTGTTCATGAAAAACATATTTTCAAGGAAAAACACAATTGCAAATTAATTTTCTTTTGTTTGATTGCATACAAGAAAAGTTCAAGAAAAATAAAAAATAAGAGTGGAAATGTAAGGATGAATGAGAGGCAAGTAAAAAAAAGAGGTAAGGAGGAGAGAGAAAAATGTGGCTTTCCTTGTTTTGGGAAGGAAAATGTGTTCCATTATTAAGGATGAAATTTTTCACCCTTGGAAAAATTGTTTTCCACCCTTAACAAACCAAACAAAGGAAAATGGGAAAAAAAAATTAAAAAAAATCATTTTCCATGAAAACCTTTTACATCAAACCAAATAGGGCCTTAGACTGAAACATAATTACATATATACTCTTTTTGGAAACCGTTGCTAAGTGAATTAAATGATATAAATTACTACTTTTTGGTTAATTATTGAGCCATAACATTCATTATTTTCCGACTAATAATGATGTGATTATATGTCACAAAAATGAGATCAATCAAAATGACATAATTACATTTAGACTGAAACATGACGTTATAATTAGACAAAAGTTCATGAAAAGTGTATCTCTTCTCCCATTGTTCCCATTCATATTTACGTACTTTTTTTTTTTTTTCCTTTTACTATTATACTATCTCTATTAATGGTTATTTGCAACTTTGGAATTTTTTATATGGGACATATAATACATAAAATTTGCAAATAATACCCAAAATTTACAAATAACCCTTCACGGAGGAAGTATTTAAATTACCAAATTAACACACTTAATTCCACTCAAATGTAAAAAGTTTCGGTGAAAGTATTGCATTTTAATAAAACGGCTTGAGTGCTTGACTATCCTTTCTTACAGGAATTGCATCCTTTACGTTGAGCTAGTGAAGTTGTATATTGAGGAGGGATGGTACTATACATTCTTGACAGAGAAGTTTTTCCCTGAAACAAAAATTGAATATACACTATTAAGAAGTAAATGAGAATTGTCGAGTGTTTAAGCAAAGAGTGATAAGATTCTCCGCTTACCTCTTCAAGTGTTCTGACTTGATCAGCTTGGGAATCAAGATATCTGATTCGATTAGCTTGGAAATGATTTGCAGCGGCAGGGACAAGCTTGGAAAGTACGTAATCGAGTAAGGTCCTTATCACAAAAATAACAGGGAGAGAGCAGATGATGAAGACAATTATGGCTACCCACAAGGACTTATTCGGTAATACAGTGTAGATACCGGTCATAAAGGCCAGCGTCGTACCATACAGGGAAGTTATCAGTATAAAAATACTGCGATCAACCAACAAATATTCCATAGCACGGTTCGAAGCCATAGACCATATCAAACCAAACAAGACCAACATCGATGAGCACAGAGCATATGCGTCTGCTAGTAAAAACACAATAAATGATGCCTTGGTTGCCTTATTCGCCATGTTATCTTCTTCATCCACACCACCAGGGAGTGTAAATCCAGCAGCAAATGTAATTGTTGCCAAGAGTGCTGCTACAATAAATAGTGCACTTCTTATTGGATCCAACTTCATGTCGTAATGAATAAATAATAATCTCAAGTGCGGATTTATATTTAAATCATAGCACATATATTCCTGCATGTCGAACGATTCATTGTAATTAGCTCTATGATATTGCACATGTGCCTAGAGGTATCAAAATCACACCTTACCAGATCCGATCTGAAATTACCTCGAAAAATTTCTAATTTAGATTCGACTTGTATGAACACAATAATTTAATATGACTCAACTTTAAAAATTGACCTGACTTCTGAATTGACACCTCTACATGTGTTAAAAGCATTCTCATAGGCCAAAAAAATATTTGCCCTTTCTACCCACTTTCTGTTGGTCATATTTTTTCTTACCATTATCTCTTCTGTTTTTACTTATACCCCACCAATATTTACCTCTCCAGCATATCATCAAATTAAAGTTTTGTAATTTATTTAATTGTGATGGAACCCGGAAGAAATCAGCCACTTTTTTATTGGTTAAAGATCTATTTGGGTGGAGCCCACTAGTAAACTATTCATTGTAAATTATGTCCATATTCAAAAAAAAAAAAAAAAAAAAAAAATGTTATTAACCAACCATCATCATTAACAAATAACCAACTGAATATCTTAAGTCTAACATTATTGTAGTGCAATTTATGGGAACCAAATAACATTCACTTCCTCTGTCTTATCTTCATACCCCAACTTATATCTTTTACTACATTGAATTTCCTTTAATGCCCTTTAATGTTGGTGCCCAATTGCACAAACCAATAAAGCACATTAAATACATTTGTACGAATTAATCATGTCTCTTATAATATTATACCCAATGTATTTCACACATGATTACATACTCCCTCCACTTTCAGCACTTTCGTTAATTTCCGTACAAAATGAGACACGAACACAAAATTATGGGATGGATCGGAGTAATTCAAGTACAATGCTATAAAAAAACCTTATACGTAGTTATCATTGAATAAATAACAAAATGCTTGGAGGAACATACCCAATCGCGATCTTGGCATAGTTCGGCAAGCAAAGACATGGCAGTATTGCCTTCAGGATCCTTAATGTTTCTCTCTACCCCCTCGTCACGGAGTAGTGCTGTAGCTAGATAAATATCATTCCTCTCTAATGCTCGATGCAAAGGCGTTGCGCCATTGGAATCTCGTGTATTTTTAAGTTCCGCAACAAATGGTAAGTTCAACAAGTCCACACAATCTTGGTAATTTTGCAATTTAATGTGGTGTAGAGGAGTGTCATTTTCTTCAAGGCAATTTTTTCGAAGATTTGGACAACTATCAATGAAGGCTAGTACAGCCCATGACGTCTCCTCATTCTCACACGCTTTTAACCAATCGAAAGGTTCTAAATTTTTTTATTGTCGATAATTCTGTATCAAACTTATAAGCCACTGTTGGTGTTTTTTTCTGGCTACTTCAAGGGCAGTTTCACCGGCAGCCTTTCCTTCGGAATCATGCATCTTGGTCATCCACCAATATCTCTCAAATAACTTAGTTCCAGTATTCTCTATATTCAATACAGTAAAGAAAAAGATATTGGTCATTAGCTTTTTAAGATAGAGTTGTGTGATAAGGTATAAGGGCTTGAGACTTTTGTGTACAATAATATTAGTGTACAACGTACATCAAACAATTAGTGGTTCCTTTTAATCAATCTTGAGTTACTTGTCAATTAATTAAGGAAAATTTTAAATTTGATATGATATTTTTGTAGGGATGGGATAAAATAATAAGTTTTAAACAATAGATTTATTTGATATATAAACAATAGATTTAGGTGGGATACCCAGTCAATTCCCCATATAAATTTTGTTTATTTGGGGGTATAATTGTCTTTTCAAGTAGTAATAAAGGAATATATGCGTCTTTTCATGTACTAGTTGAGGGGTATCATGTGTAATTTCCTCACCAAACAGTCAAAGAAAAAAAGCAAACAGTAATTGAACAGCTCATCAAAAAAACTAAATAAATGACCTTGCTTTTTCAACATGTTTACAAAAATGCTATCAGATTAACAAAAATTCGTTTATCTGGAAGATTAACTTGTATTTTTCCTACATTTAGTGTTTTTTTTAAACAATAATTTTATTTTGGTAAGTTAGTTTTGTTGTCCAAAAGAACCTTGACGCCGGATTCCGGCATTTGACTTTTTTTCTCCGAAGTTGACTCTCCACGTGACATGATGTTGACTCTCCACGTGACATGTCACGTGACATTAAAAAATCACCCTCTCTCTTATATTTTTCCCTTTTCCCCTCAAATTCCGATCCCCTTATTTGCCTAGAATTTTTCCCCAAATTGTTTCTCTCAACTCACGAACCATGGTTCTTAATCTAATCCATTGTCTTCCCTAAATTTTTAAAGAAATTCAAGCGAGAATCTTTTGATTAAGTCCTTTTTGCATTAGGTAAGAGCTAGCAATGCTTACTGTTTTACAGCAATTCCAACCAAACAAAACCACATAGACCAAGAATAAAGAATAAAAAAAGAGGCAACTTTTCAACATACACAAATTTTCAATTCATGAATCCAATTACCAACAAGTAATTCAACATAAACGCATGCCGCCAATCAATTTTCGTTCGCAAAATATGGCAAAAACCCTAATTTTTGTTCGCCAATTACAATATTATTAAATTCAATTTAGTTGATTTAGCTAGTTTTATAGATTTTTTGGGTGGAAAAGATAAATTTCTTGCCACATTTATTTTTGCCCCTTTTTCCCTTTCGCCATTGGAGACCAAAAAAAAAATTAAAGTACAAAGAGAAAATGAAAATGACAGATGAGAGGAGAAGAAGATATTCGTACTAGGGCCAACAAACTCCTCTATTCTCTAACTCGAATTTAATTTGGTGGATGAGAGCAATAATTTCTGGACTTAATCATCACTCTTTCTTGTTTTTTCCTCAAAGAATACCAGAGGAGAGAGAAATTTAGGGGATTAGAAGAGAGAGAAAGAAGAATGGAGGCAGAGCGTGAAAAAAATTGGGAGGGGGAAGTTTTTTAAGTCACGTGAGAGTCACGTGACTAGTCAACGCCAGATTAAAAAAAAGTCAATCATCGGATTGTGACGTCAAGGTACCTCTAGACAACAAAACAAACTTATAAGGTCCTTTTAAACCACTTTGAACATATAAAATTCTTCCAGACAAAATAGTGAACATATAAGTCCCTTTCAGACAAATTTTTCTTTTGGTAATAAATTAATTATTAATGTAAAATTTTGATTATTTTTAAGGCTTAGGGACTAAATTTAATCTTTAAAGTTTTGGAGCTTTTGATGATATTTATTATTGTTTTTAAAGAAGAACTTAAAAAAAGGAAAGAAATACTTCTTAGTCCATATCTTAAAGATAAGAGCAAGGGATAGTATATAAAAGCTATAAAATTAGACTTTGATTGTCTTTGAAACAATGGATATGGGCATCATTTGTGCCCTTGTTAAATGGACATTCCATCAATATTTTCAAATTTTCCGACAATTTGATCTTCGTTGGCCGTTCCCAAATACCGATAGTCATCAGCCATCAATAAACGTGATACTAACGGCATTTTGGTATATTTACCGATGAATTTTTACAATAAGTAGTTGGTTCAAATCTTGTAGTGGTAGAGCAAAACTAATATGATTATATATTTCCATACATACTTATTTACGTGACTACGGAATTATATTATTATATGATTACATAATACTATTAGTCAAAGTGAATTAGGTGAATAACCAAAAAAGTCTGACATCGCATTATTAAAATTTAGTATAAGTAATTTGTGTGGATGATGCGTGAAAACATAAAAATATAAAAGAACAAAGAAAGTACCTGGCATTTTCCATAAGCTATGAAGAATAGTATTTCCCTTAGTTTTACGCAACATGTTGAAAGTAACTTCCTGATTATTCAAAATTTCTTCAACAACGTTTTCACAACAGTCACCAACAGCAGCAAATAGAGGGCTCTCTGCACTATCGCTGAACATATGACATAATGTCGAATCGAGGTTTATGTAATACAGTGCAAGTTCTTCGTTTTGTTGCTCATATATAGCAACAAGCAAAGGCGTATGTTTGTATATATTCCCTATTCTCCAAGGTGGAAAGTAATCAGTTGACTCATCCATATTTCCTGCTTTCATTTCCTGTTCTAGCTTGTAACCATTTATAATTGATTTTGTAATTTCGACATTCTTATGTGTTCTAGCTGCCGTATGTAAAGGAGTATCAAACAGATTTTCCTCCGTTGCCTTCATTGTGATTAAATCCGTGAAGACTTTCGTCCTCGCAGCCGGAAATTCTCCCCGTAAAAGGAAATCAATCGGCCAAACTTGATTCAATTCTGCCCATTGGTGAAGCATATTGTAACCATTACTGTGATCCACGGCATCTATTAGCTCAGGATGTTTCTCTAGTAGCAATCTTAATACATTTTCTGTATCCCAAAAATTAGATTGTATTAAATAATATTTGTGTATACGTACTACTTCAGTATTATTCAAAGTATTGTATTAATTAAACGATTTGTCTAATGTATCTCTTAATCTCTATGCGGCACATGTAAGTACAAAATAATGAAATCCTGTCAAGTATAGTAATTAATGGCTAAATCTTGTATGTAGCCACATGGTGCAGCCACATTGATTTATAAGAGTAATCTTCATTTTATATGTATTAGTAACCTCATTTTTTATATAAGAGTAATTCCATGTTGTCCATACAAGTAACTCAAATTCATTATACGATTAAAATCAAGTAATTTAGGTATTAGTAACCCTATTTGTTCATTCGTATAACCCCTATTATTTTGTTTTAAAAAATTAAAGAATAATTCCACTTATTTAAGATAGTAACCTTTTTTTTTTCATTTAACTAACATGCATACCTTAAGGTAATCCTATTTAATTTGCTCATCACCGTAACTACGTATTACTTAATTATTTGTCTTATAAATAATTTGTGAAGTGGTCACACCAAGTGGCTAGTCACATATAAGACTTTGTGATTGTGTAGAACACAAATTCTTCAAAATGGCGAGTATACGATAATTTATTGTAAGACGTGTTAAACTTATCTTTAAAATATTTAAAGTTACCCAAGCTATTAAAAAAGTTATTATTTTTCTAATAATAAATTTTATCTTACAATAAACTTATTATGTACTTCCTCCATTTTTTTTATAGTTGTAACAAACACTTTATCGGGCTATTTAAGAAAAGTTGACCTCACATGTTATAATACACTTAAAATAGGGTTGAAATTTTGTTAGGATTATAATCAAAGGGGCATGTGCTTAAATTAAAGGTAATAGTATAATTTTCACCATAAAATCCTTCCTCTTTATGATGTGTTGCAACTTTTGTGACATTTCCATTTTAGGAAAGTGTTGCAAGTATAAAGAAACGAAACGGAGGAAGTATTAGATTAATCATATAAACCTTCATAGTTGTCATCATGAATTTATATGAAATTACACATTAAAATAAAATTCAAACCAATAAAAAATTAAAACTTATCCTTTAAAGAGTTAAAATTAGTATATAAATAGTTAAAGTTACTAACAAAGTGACTTAATTATATACAATAACATCAACATACACCCGGCTTACACGAGAATCATTGTATTTGAAATCCATCTCAATGCGTTTTTTTTGGTTAAAAATTAATTATTTACAATTAATGCACAGATTTACAATCATATTAATTCATTGACTTTGACTTTCTCGTTACATGTCAATATGCTTTAATTAAAATGGGATGTATTTTTTGAAAGAAAAATGTTATCCATATCTCTTAGGGCTACATATAAGTATTAAATTTACTCTTGAAAATTGTAAAAAGTTAAGAAATCATCAAAATATAGACACTAATAACACTGATTTGCGAGTGTTTTTGTCATAAATTCCTAATTTTATACAATTTTCAAGAGTAAATTTAATGCTTATATATAACCCTTAGGGTCACATATAACATTACCCTTTTTTGAACTATCTAGCTTAATACAACTACGAGTATATAAAATAAATAATTTAATATAATAAATACCAAAAACAAAAACAAACCAACAAAATATAAATAATTAAATAGATTGTCTCAAGTTATGCAGATTACAATATACTAATTATTTCTTATGGCTATTCCTTCTTTTTTAAGTTTTTACTATACAATGGACTCGTATTTGAATAGCGCGTTTACAGTATGGCTAGTTGACATGCATCAAAATACAACATGGGTAACCCATGACCAATCGGATAACCCCAACCATACGGTATAACCTGCCATATATGAAACTTTATGTTAAAAAAATAAAAAAAACATTAAATTAATTCTCTTGTTTGTTTTATTAACAATTACCAATTTTTATATTTGACTAACCACAACGTGTGAACATCCATTATAGTGTTACTTAATTAGTGTTATAGAGGTCATTCGGTTTGTGTTACAGGTGTAAATTTCAAGGGGAAATCCAGGATTGTCCAGGCCACCCCATGGCAAGCCCGATGATCACAAAATTTATAATTAAAGCGTTGAAGATTATTTGTGACTTGGTTGGATTGTTGTCTTTTGAATGTTTTGGTTTAGAGATCGAAACATATAGCCTACAATTTGTTTGTTTTAAGTAGAGTTGTCAAAAACTGACCCGACCCGAGAACCCGATATTAACCGGCAATAATCTGAACCCAACTTGTACCCGAAAATGGGGTGAAACTAGTGACCTGTACCTCGACCTAAAACTGACCTGTAACCCGATCTGAAACTGACCTGATGTTGACTGACAATCGATTTGATCTTATACTTTATGACTTGAGCCCGAACTTGCACCCAACCAGATTGTAACCTTCAACCGATTTAATCCGACCCGACAACATTCCGAACCCGAACTAGCTAGTACCCGACCCAACTAAAACTTTATATACTTTTTGTTCAGCTAATGTACTGGTACAATCTGTAAACTATTAAGCTTATTGTGCTCTATTACTCGTATACAAGTTTAATAAAATCTTGATAATGCTTAATCAACTTGACCACATCGATATTTATTAGAATTGAACTTGAACCAAAACCCGACTAAACACTAACCCAAACCCGAATATATTATCTATTTATCCAGCCAAACTCGATACAACACAACCCGAACCTGAAATTGAACCCGATTTGAATTTGACTCGAATCGAACCCGACCTATACCCAAAAAAGATGAACTACCCGGAATCATAACCTAAATTGAAATTGACCCAACCCTAACTTGAGCCTGATTTGAGGCTAGGTTGACTCGACATAACATGATCCTGATTCAACCCGAGACTTGATTTGACCCCATCCGAACTCAACTTGAATACCCGAATTAACAGTTCTAGTTTCAAGTACTTTATTTATTCTCCATATTGTTGTTTCCGTTTATATCTCAATTAACAGTTCCGTTTATCGGGCTAAGGAGTTTTACCTCTTATAATATTTCTTATTCTTTGCTATTTTTCTATAAGTGAACTTATGAATATGTTTTAAAGATCTGGCTCGGTCTATAGGTGTGGTTAGTGTTATAAGAGTTACTTTATTATTTATAAGAGGACACATGGTGTGGCAAGTTGTACACAAAACGTGGTCAATATATGAATTGTTTTAAGATCACATGTAACAATCATGAAATTTGGGAGTATAATTTGATGAAAATGTTGAAATAGCTAGAGTTAGGGGGCGTTTGGTATAAATTCCATAAACGGAATGGAAAGGATTTATATAAGTAACGAAAAAAATAATGATACACGTTACCTTTGATATATGTTTGGTATCTTAATAGAATGGTAACAAATTGAGGAGTTTATGATTAAGGAGGGAAACACATTTTATTTCCACTAGTTGGATAAGGGTAACAATTTGGGGGATTTTGTTACCCTTTGGAAATGGTATTTGTTACTTGTAGATCACACCAAACTAATAGCAAATGGAAACACTTATTTGTTTACGTTTCCTACATTATAAATTTTCATACCAAACACCCCCTTAAGGTTTACCAAGAATTGGTAGACATGAAACAAGCTTGGAAGGAAAGTGGTCATTTCAGTTGCACCGATCCCAACAAGCTAAAAAGGATTAAAATAAATTAAAGGCTATTTTGGTAAATAACTTATTTATGCAGAATTAATTAGCTTATTTATCATTAAATAAGCTAATTTATGGTGTTGGGTGGAAAGCTTATTCCACTAATTAAACTCTTGTTCAATAAGCTCAATTTTAGAATCTTTTTCAAATTGCTTATTCAATATATTGTGGTGAAATGACACTAATTCCTCAATTTAATTTAAAATTCTACCTAAATAACTACCTACCCCAACAATTAGCTTATTAGTCATTTCACATACTCAAACAAGTTTAAGTAATCAATTATTTATCAAACACTTTTACACATTCATCTAATAAATTTTAATACATTCAACTAGTCAAAATAAGCTAACACCATTAGTTCAGCTTTCAGCTTTTTACCAAACACGGTCAAAACCAAAATTGGCTCCATTCAATTCGAATGGACTCTGTTTGACCTGAAACAAAAGTTTCCTCATTTAGTTGTGTTGGAGTTAGTATATTTATAAGCAAATCAGAACTCAAGCCGTCTATCGGCGTCATATGCAAACTAAATATCTAGTGAAGGAGCTATAGCTCTATCAAGGATAAAGAGCTTCGACAAGGCCGAGCTATAGCTGAGATATAGCTCGGGTAAGAGAGAGCTATAGCTCGCTGCTGTTTGTTTGTCGCAACAAGGCCGAGATATAGCTCGGGTACGAGAGAACTATAGCTCGCTGGCCATTTGGTTGCAACAGGGGCGAGCAAGAGATCGAGCGATAGCTTGCGCGCTAGCTTGCTGTCTCTATTGCTTGCGGCTAGGCGAGCGAGAGCTCGCTGCCTTAGTTTCTCGCGACTAGGCCGAGCGATAGCTCGCTCGACTGCGAGCAAAAGCTCGGTCGCTCGGTTTGCTTTTGAGCGGTGGGCTTGCGTGGACTAAAGACCTAATTTCTTGGCTTATTCTTTATTTCACTATTCTCATATAAATACCCTTTTACCCCTAAAATCAATGTACGTTAGTTTCATGATTGGAAAATAAAACCATACAAACACAAACCTACCCTTTACAGATCTGAACAGTTCTTGAGCTATTCTAACCTTCGAGTTTGGGTACACGGATTACGGAGGTCGTTGTGTAAAACCAGGGGGCGTGCGTTACTAGGAGATTTGTACTGGTGGTGGTGTATTTCGCTTCTAAGTCAGTGGGTACCAAACCACGGCACAACAGAAGGAGGTCAGATCTTGATCAGTTATAACAGTTTGTTTTTTATTTTAACAGGTATTTTCCAACAATTTAGAAGCGAAATAATTATTATTAGATCTGTTTCTATCATGAATAGTAATTCTCAAACTCGTTTATACCTAGATCTGTCTAAG